GCACACAAGGTGGAGGAGGCCACATGAGGACAGAGGTCGAGATGGGGCCACAAGCCAGAACAGCTGGGAGACCCCTGGAACAATGCCCTGGCACTTCCCAAAAGTCTGGCCCAGCTGCACTCCGGGAATTTCTGATATTGAACTTTTGGTCTTCAGAGTGTGTTGTTTTAGGCCAACAAGGTTGTGGTAATTTGTTGCAGTAATTTGATGATTTGGGAAATTCTCAGCCTCTCCAGATTGCAGAAGATGTTAACAGTACAAAACTCACTGTTAAGAAAGTGAGCTTTTGAAGGAAGCCAAGGGTGTGGCCAGACAGGAGACCTGTGGACATGGAGAAGGCAGGGGCCCCAGGGTGTGGGGAGGAACTGGGCTGAATGGAGGGAACCCAGCAGCAATGGGAGGTGGTAGCATGGAACTGGGGTCCCAGGAATGTCAGGAGGAGGGAGCTCAGGACATAGAGACCTAGTACCATGGGGAGGTGGCCCAGGACAGGGGGACCCAGGCTGAGCTCCCAGAGAGGGACAATGGGGCTGAAGTGACCCTGGGAGAGACCTGAGAGACTCTGGGCCCAGTGAGACACACTAAGATTTGTGCCTTATGGCCGCCAGCTTGCCCGTCATGCCCACACAGAGGTGTCCCATCCCAGAGATGATTCCAGGAGTCATGGGAGGAGACCAGGGTGTGGTCCTTCATTCAGCTCAAGGTCTGGGCCACTAAGCCCTGTTCCTAGACACACTTCTCCCCAGACTACTGACCTGAGCCCCCTGAGAACTGGGTTAACGAGGGACAGTGTCCAGGCCAAGGGTAGGTGTTCTCTGTGGCTTCATCTACTCTGCTCCTTACACCGCCATCCCAGCCCCCTCACTCCACCCTCTGCCAGCCCAGGTCAGCCCCTTCTCCTTCTGGAAGTGGACACACTCTCCCTTTGGAGCCTGACCTGGTCCTCACTTCCTGTCCCAGCTTTGTTCAGGCCCCCTCCCAGAGAGGGAGGCTCAGTCACAGACACCCCCCTGTCCAAAATAAATACTCGGTGCCAAGGAGGAGCTGGAGCTGGGACTCCAATCCTCCTTCACCTCTGAGATAAGCAAGAAGGCCCAGGAGGTTGTATCCCTGTCAGTCCTAGCCCCTGTGGTGCAGCAGGGGGAGGCCCCGGCAGGAGCCTGAGCGTCAGGGTTCTAGACCCAGGACATCACCTCAGTATCAAGTCTCTTGAACTCTTCCCACACCCACTACCTACCCACTGTGCTGGGCTCTCAGGGCACAGAGAAGACACAGACTTTCAGGAGAGCCGGACCTGTCCACTTACACAGCTACTTTTTTTTTTTTTTGCAGTTTTTGGCTGGGGCTGGGTTTGAACCTACCACCTCCAGCATATGGGGCCAGCGCCCTACTCCTTTGAGCCACAGGCGCTGCCCCTCACACAGCCACTTTTGATGGTGTCCACCAGAGGTCAAACCAAGGGCCTGGACAGCAGGGAGTGCAGGGTAACCCAGAAGTGGCTGCAGGGGAGATGTGGGGGGCTGCAGAGCTGGGAGGAATGAGGTCTGGAGCAGCAACAAGACTTTGCCAGATAGAGGTCTATGAGGTGGTGCCCACTGGCCAGCTCCACAGGGGTCTAACATGCACCCTCCACCTGCTGGATGGCTGTTTCTGCCCCTGTGGTTACTGTGGGCCCTCTCGCCCACATGGGAGTCCAGGCTCTGGAATGAACAGCAGGAGCACCATCTAAGGGGATAACCGGGCCAGGCACCTGAGTGCCAGAACCAGGAGACCAGCTTGGGCCAGACCTCAAGGAGCAGGGCCTACTTCCCCCTCTCCAGGGGACCCCAAGGCCTCAACAGAATTGGAGCCCAGTGAGTGCATTAGGGGGAGGGATGGAGAACTGCCTTTCAGTTTTTCCACAGGCAGAGTCCCTATCAGGTGGAGGGGCAGGAGATCCTCGAGGGCCCCTGATGAGCCCTGGCATGAGAGATGGGCAATGGGGTTGGAAAGCTGCTTCTGGAAACAAAAGACTCAACCCAAGATTCTATAGGAACAAGCACCCAACACCAAGGAGCCCTTCCTGCTCTTGGGTATTGGTGGGCGGGGTGCCCAGCCTGGACCTGTGGTGACCAAGGATTGCCTACCTGTGGACACCAAGAGTTCCTGTGGCCATGACTAGGCCTCTGGGGGCTCCTCCCAGGTGTGGCCCCAGGTCTGAGATGCCTGCCTAGTCACCTTCTACCCAGCCTATAAGGCAGAAAGTCAGCCATTCATAGCTGGACTGAACACTGCCCACAAGCTTCTAGAAACCAGACCAGGGGATCACACTGGATTCCTGAGCTGTAAGAACCATAAGGGAACATCTTGATCTTAAACATTTCTGAGCTCAAGCAATCCTCCTGCCTGAGCTTCCCAGAGCACTAGGATTACAGGCATTAGCCACTGTGCCTGGCTGGATCCTTTTTTATTGTTTTCTGAGACAGTGTCTTGCTCTGTCACCCAGGTTCGATTACAGTGGTGCCATCATGGCTCACTGTAACCTCCAACTCCTGGGCTCAAGAGATCTTCCTGCCTCAGCCTCCTGAGTGGCTGAGACTGAAGGCATGACCACCACACCCAACTAATTATTGTATTTTGTTGGAGACAAGGTCTTGTTATGTTGTCCAGGCTTATCTCGAAGTCCTGACTTTAAGTGAACCTCCCACCTCCACCTCCCAAAGTGCTAGAATTATAGATCCACCATGAATTATAGAGCCACCATGCCTAGCCAAACTTGAGGATACATTTTTTTTTTTTT